AAGGTCGAAGTTTGACCCCTTGCGAATTGGCGTGGAATGCCCCATATGTTTTTATATACTTTGTAATTATATCATATACGCGTATGCAATATTAATCTCATATATTTTTCAAACTGCAATTTAGTCTTCAACGATTGTCCTTCTTATATATAAATTAAACACAAAAATAAATAAGTAAAACATAAAAATAAATAAGGCTGCAGTCCACTTGACGCTACAAATACTTTGGAGTGTTCTTCACTTTGATATATTATGTAAGATATATTCATCATTGAAAGCTAACAATAAGTGATATGCATTATATAAGTATATATACGTTTCAAATTCGCGCACTTTTGCATGCGCGTGCGGCCACTGAGCATGCGCATGTGGCCGCAGGGCATGTTCAGTGGCCTAGTTTACACCGATCTCTTGATACGCGTATCAAATAGTATATTTGAACTGATCAGCCAATAATCAGACTTATTTACTAGTTATTTACTATTTAAACTAAACCAAGTGTCGCTATATGTCATCGGACAAATGCGTTTCGAAACCACCAAATATTCTACGTCTCACCCCCACTCTCCGGCAGCTAAACGATGTGCTTCAAGCTTCTCTCTGCTTCAGTGAAAGAATAGAAGCCTGAAAAATAAAATGGGCAATACAAATAATTAAATTGAATACATAAATATATACATAAAGATTTACTATATAATATTAACATAAATTTACAAATGCTATTGCACCAGCACCAGATGCATCATATAAAATACAAATAAGTATCATGAATTTTTCTTGTATATACTGTGTTACTTTTGATTGGCAAAAATTAATTTTTCATATATTTGATCTTTCAATTCTTTTCGGCAAAACGTTTATCGAGTTTGTCTCCTTTGACTTTTTTTAAGAGTTTTATTGATGTAATTCAATCATGGATGCTATATGGTGACAAGAAATCGAAATTTAAGGCAAGACATCGTAATATAAACGTTTGTTTCATATTTTGTCAATTTTAAACATTTTTTTTAACATTTAACTAATTTTGACTAATCGATCAAACTAATGTAAAGAATAAACTAAATATAGATGATAATTCTTAGAATTAATGCAACAAAATGATTAGTAAATCAAGAGTGTATTTAAAGCCTCGCGCGCGTACAATAATTTTGCGCATCCGAGAATATAAATCGCGCATTTAACAGTTTTACATCCAAAATCTTTGCGCATTTACATCTGAAGAAGTACATGCTTTAGGATCTTAAATAGATACTCTGCTTTTATATTCCGTTGATACTCTCTATGCTTACATTATTCGATCTTGTATTTATCGATTTCGTGCACTCTCACTGGAGACCGCATAAAGTTAGGATAACTCTATAGCCATCAGTTCTAGATTTTTACTTCAATTTACTTTTTGCTTCTATTATACTTATAAAAAGTGATAGATCGAGCAAAAAACTTCTCCCTTCACAATTTGGCGTAAATCTGTTATATAGTTGAAAGTATCCCAAAATACTAATATCTATCGTCACGTGGACGTATCTTGATTCGCAAGGCGAAATCTATATCACAATTCGCTTCTTATTCTCTCTCGTTTAATAGTCGCTGCATGTACAACACCCTGAAATTCGTAACTTTGTTTTTCTATTTTCTCGTTTGTTTCTAGCGACCTAATAACGTTGTAATACTTAAAAAACTTTCTTTTAATCAGTTGCGCCTTCTTTCGATCCTTGCTAAGATCAACGGTAGAGCCTAGAATAAAATTCATGTCCCTGATATGCTCTAATTTGAGTAGAATAATTTTACGTTTATTGCGCGCAATTTTCTTATTTAGGAAGTTTAGATGCCGCCTTAACTTCCTATAATCCTGCAGAAGTTGCTCAATAATATCTAAGCACAGCCTTCGGGTTCTAGCAATACACTTATCCGGCGCTTCACCAGTTCCCACCTGACAGATATTGGTCAGAGCTTCGACGTGAGAATCACCGTTCAAGTTCGCCAGCACAAAGTTCAGCAAGTTTGGAATGGTAATAGGAACAGAAAATGGAAACACAGTACTGTCCTCCTTTCTAAAATAAAAATTCAGCAAAAGGAAATATTACAATATATATGAAATAATATATATTTTTAAATCAAAATAAATGTTCTATGGAATCGAAGTCAAAAACAGAGAGAAACCAAAAAAAAAAACAAAAAACAAAAGATATTTTTTATATAAATTTTAAAGAATAACATTTTAACAAATGATTGCAAGAAACTTTTCGCATTTCACGTACCTTTTCGCAGGAAAGAATAAAATAGATGGAAAACGATTCATACTGTACTCCCAAGGCAAATCGTTGTTGTCTCCATCAACTCTGACAAAAGTCAGATGATTCATATTGGATAAGTAATATGCCACTGTTAAGTATACATACGATATAGCACTGCAAAATCCGCAATAAGAGGAATGATACATTATAACAACGTCCTAAAAAAAAAAGTTTAATTACATTTGATTTATTATATAGTAGGAAATATAATAATTAGCGATAAAATCTATCTCTCAATATACAGTTTTAACACATTTTTATTTATTTTGCCAAAAATTTATGTATGTCTATCAATCCTGATTATTTAAAGATTAAAGCACCAATATTATTTATTGCATATTCTCATACATATATTGCTAACAAAATGCAATAATCAAGTACTGCATATAACTGACCTTAGATGGATCCAAGATAGTATGCAGAAATGTTTTCGTTGTCAATTCTGGCACACGAATCTTCGGACGCGAATCTGCAGTATTGTTGCTGTCTTCATCAAGCAACTTCCATGCTTTGTAATGCTTTGAATTGTCCGAACGCAATGTTCGCTGTAATAAACCTTGCGTATAATTGTTTATGAAGTCAACGAGAGCGTACTCGCTGAACTCATGTTGCATGACATACTGGCTCTCCAACTGTAACACAAAAAGAAAAATGATAAAAATGTTACAGAAAAAAAAAAACATGAAACATTTACAACTAGCCAAATCGGCCAGTTTTAAATTATAAAAATTGGCGACAATAAGCATACTATTCTTTCTGTTATTAAAATATATATCATTGTATATATTGTATATATCATTGTTATAAATGACAAAACTTACCGCAGCATCCAAGATGATGACGGTGGTTTTGTTTTTCTGCTTCGAAATATCAATTCCCAGATGTTCTGCAAAATGATAGTAATGCAAACTGTCGATAGCTATCAACGCTAATGTCTTGTTGGTTTTGCAAACCGATTCCTTTAAGCTGATGTTAAACTGCCTTGGAAACTCTCGCGGGAATAATGATGGATGGTAATCATTTCCAGCCATCCATTTTTTGCAATTCTCTTTTAAAAAACCTTTCCTCACTATATTTGCGGATCGCGAATCGGTTTCTTCCTTCAATAATGATGGTTTATATTCTATACCTGCATGCAGCCTTAAAACAATAATTTCTTTTTTTGAATAAATTGTTTTACAACGATTTATATCTGCATTTATATGTAAATATATATTACTTCTTTAATTTTGACTCTTCCTGTAATTTTATTGATACATAATTCTTGTTATAATTATATATCTGTTTCTCATGTTGTCCAATCATAACGGGAATTGTAAATACATCGGTATCTTTGCAAACATCATCGAATTTTTTAGAAATGACTGTACATATTTCTTTCTCTAATGGATTCATCACCTTCGTCTTGCACAAAAGACATTTATTCATTGCTACGTTCGCACAACAGCTATTGTTGATCCACTGCTGAATCGATATGCTAGTAACTGATTCCTTGATTTGCTTAGTAAAAGTTTTGTTTTTCTTTAGATCGGCGCATTCTTGATTCCTAGAAAAGTGTCGGATCACCGCTGTACGTCGTTTTGCTTCAAGACGTGCAACTATATCCTTCACCGACATACTATCCGCGCAGTTGTAATACTGTAAGCCGATCTTTCTTATCTGTAGAACAAAAACACTTCGATATAAGTCATACAATTATTTGCTACAAAGAAATATATATTCTATAAGAATATTTATTATTTTAGTATATACATTATATTATAAATAATAAAACAGTTAACTTATTGTTAGTACATGAAAGTTGATCATAATATTCTTTCCAAGTTTGTAAACAAGTATCTTCCTGACTCTTATAAATATTCGACAAGGAGAACTTGTGAACTGTGGAACGCAGATGAATCATATATTAACAGTGTGTAGGGGAAATCCCCTGAATATATACCTAAATTATTATTGACTATTGGCCAGCCATTTAAGAGTTTAATTTGACATCTACTGTAGTGCTCGATTGTTGGCCTTTATTCCTATTTAATTTAATTTAATTTAATAAAAAGAGATTTGAGCATTATGTATGAATTTACCATTGTAGTAAGATCATTCACAGCTTTTTTACCATATATAATACCTGCACAACGATACCGAAACTGTCGTTAAGGAGTTAGAGAATCCCCGTGCTGGTATAAAAAAAGTAATACATTCTACTCATAAAACATTTTTCAAAATTCAAATAGCGGTCCCCGAGCTAAAAATTTGAAAAATAAAGTTCCCAATGCTTCAGTAATTCTTCATTTTTCAAGTCGCTAAACCTATACCGGAAACACAAAAAATTCATTGCGCTATACCTGATAACAATAAAAATATGAATGTGAAAATATTCTCTCAATGTAATGATGTCAAATCATATAAAATAATTAAAAATAAATTAAAAATAAATAAATAGTATAAACGTTATATATAATATGGTATAATTTTTAGATATATTTTTTATTTATTTTATGTTTATTTTTAATTTTTAATTTAATTAATTTATTTTATTTTCAAATAAATCTAATTATAATGCCAAAATGTCGAGGCTGCCAAATTGTCATCCCGATATTCGTTGGTCTTGCGAACAGTGTACAAAGAAATAAAGTAAATAATAATTTCAAATATTTCTATTGAGTTGAGTAAAGTGTGCAAGAGCTGTTTTGACATGCAACGTCCGTGAGTGCGCAAAATTTCGACAAGCACACTAGTGAACTTTAAACCTTTTCCGTTTAAACACTGTAGCAGCCTCGACATTTTGGAATTAGGATTTTTGTCTCCAAATGACAAGATTAAGAGTTGATCCGCTTTTTATGGTACACCCTGTATGTATGTATATATATATATATATATATATATATATATATATATATATTATATATGTAAGGGAAAATTAGTTGTTAATTCATATATTTCTTATCCATCAAATTACCACGTTATATTATATTAAAAGTCAACAATTTTAACTATTTAAAAATGTATTTTTTAATGCTTACTCACAAAATAATTAAAAAATTATTACAGTACAATCTCGCTAATCCGGTACGTCCAATAATTCGACACGCGGCTTACGCGACCCCGTGGGCAAGAGGCACGAGGACAGGTTTAACGCTCACATGTATTCATCTAATCATTAGTGACCGTTAGACTATCGCCAATGCAGCATTGTTGATGATTCCGCGAAAATACATCGCCGCTTTTCTAGTTTTATTTTGTTTGCTGTAAATTTCGAAGTTTTTAAAATGCTCAATTATTTTATTTACCTCCTATATTCCTTACATTCTACTAGTCCGACAAACCCATTAACTCGGCACAACCTGGTTTTTAATAGCGCCGTATTAGCGAGATTCTACTGTACTTTATAAAAAAAAAAAAGTTGGAAGAAAAATCTACACAATGCTAAAATCTTTTTTTCCTTTTTTTGTTAATAACTCCTAAATAACTGGCTAATAGTCAATAATATTTATATTCAAAAAATTTCTCCCTACAAGCTGTTAATGTATGGTTTATATCCGTGTTTCGCAGTGCCCAAGTTTTCCTTATAAGATAGGGATTCCCAATTTACGGCCTGCGGACCAGATTTGACCCCCCTCTCCCCCCCATAGTTTTATATTCGGTCCGGATAAAACTCCTTCCCTCCTTGTCTGTTCTTTAAAATAGATAATTTTTTATAAGCGATCATTATGTTCACAATAGAGTTCAATTCAAATCATTTAATTTGATATTATATTTGTTAGGTCTATTTTGTTTAGTTTGCAATATAAAAAGGAGTGACCAATTATGATAGAACTGCATTTTGTATGTATATATGCATATGTATACATATATACATATATACGATCATCCAATGCCTAGTTTTGCTGAAATGGCTAAAAGTAAATAATCTTGAATGATCTTAGAAGACCCATGTCCTATATACATAGGTCAATGAACTCGTCTTGGAAGAGATTGAGTGTTTAGCTAAAAAGAAAGGAGTTTAAAAAAAAGATCTTGAAATTTTGGAGAATCTCTACTTAGATTTGTGTCCATCATAAGATGTCCCCTCGAAACAGAGTAAGTTCTATTTAAAACATTTTTTTCAAATAACGAATAGTTTGGGAGATAATTATATGTAAAGATGAAAATGAGATACCCTGTATATCGTTGTGTGCGCTTTCAATTCTGCAGTTTTGTCGTTACTACGCTGAACTTTTATAATATAAAAGAATTTGAAAATAAAGATATTTCGTTTTTGTTTTTCAAAAATAAAACTTATCTATCCTTCCCCTGGTTATTATAAAGATCTTAATATAACCCTCTGCAGACAAAAAAGGATGGGAATCCCTAAACTAAGACATCATATAGATCACAAACGATTATTTTTGGATTAATAATAGATATTTATGGATTAGGAAATTGTTTCCAAAAAACAGACAAAACATTAATAACGAACCAGATTGTAAACATAATTTTCCGTATGAAGCGGATTTCGTGGTGTAAAGAGAAATAAAACTGGTCCTTCACGGAGATAGGGCGCAAGAGTGAGCGCTTTGATTCCAGGCGGCTGTAGCCAGAGAGACGGTTGATGAACAGAATTGCTGATCCAATTCAGGATGTTCTCAGAAGTCCACTCATTGCCTTCCGGATAGCTCTAAGTTTTTAAAGCTGGTGTATTATGTAAGATAGAGAATAGAGAAATTCGCGCACCGCATACTTACTAAAGATTCATTCCACATGAGCAAGCTTGCCGATGGAAACTTGTAGACTCCGTAATGTAATTTGCTGGATGATGCGCTAGTCACTATAGCAAATACCAATTCTCTATTAGGATCTCTTTCCAATGACCGTATTGCGGCTTTATAAAACTCCTTGTATCCAGGAGTTCTATCCAATCGTGTAAAATTAAAATATCCAACGACTACTGCCTGTAAGTTATCAGAGTAATTAATCATTAATTATATTATTAGTCCTCAATCCATTGTACCTCGATTATTGAAATTAGCGTATATTAAATTTTTCCCAATTTATTTTATATGTTAAATTAAGATGAACTAAGTTTTACTTTGAATAACAACTAATACTAAATATCTCTATAAATAAAATTAAAACACGAACAAAATTTTCTTATTTTTATTATTTCTCAAATAAAAAAAAAATTCTGGAAAATAAATTTTTTTTTAATTTATACTTACATCGTAGGCAACTAATAATTCCATTAGTTGTTCTTTATGTGTTATTCTAATAATAGGATTCATAAGTGCATCGAGGAAACGAATCATATATGGTGCTGTACGAATTCCTCTGTAATTAATGCCAGAATCTCTGGATGGATACAACATCAACACTGGATAACCATGGATTTTATTATACTGCGCTCTGCATTCTGAATCGGGATGCCAACAATTAATGGCTGCGAAGAATATCTAAGTACACACATAGTGCCCAAATGCTTATGAATATGCAAGGAGAGATATAGGATCCTGGATCACAATTTTGTACCTGTGGATGATAAAACCGAGCAACGCTTTCAAATTCATGTCGAAGCGCCTGGCTTTCCGCATCCCAGGGTGCATAATACATAACAAAGCTGAAATCCGCTTGCGTTATCCTCTCGATCATCGCATCTAGATGACCCTTATAGAAGTCCAATATCAGAGAATTCTGATCAAAGAAAGGTTTCGCTATGGGAGGCCTGGAGAGTCTGGGTGGTCTACAAAATCCACAGTATTAGCACACCCAGATGTTAACGATGCATTAAAAATATGTGTATGGTGTCCGATTTCAGGTTTTAATAACCAAACTGTACCAGTGTTCTATGAATAAAAATAAGAAAAAATAAATTATGCTGCAAAAAAAAATATGTTTCTTATTATTAATCAAGCACAGTATAACTTTACTAATGTTCCACTTAAAAATATTGGCTGTTCTTGTCATTGACTAGTGACTACTGGGTTCATTTCGTCCTTTACAAATTCATTATGAACAACATCTATTTCATGGAGTACATACAAATGGTATAAAAGATTATTCTTTATAAAGAATTCTATAGACTGATAAAGCAACAATTATGAGAGGTATTGGTTGCATTCAGCCGATACTCCGCTAGCCTAGCAATTGTGAGCAGTCGCTCGTTTCCTCTCCTTTTAATCCATTGGGTCAAAGGAGAGGAAACGAGCGACTGCTCACGATTGCTAGGCTAGCGGAGTATCGGCTGAACGCAGCCATTATTTTTAATTTTTCCAATAAATACATCAAAGCATTCAATTAGATGGTTGTTTTATGTAATCCTTTGACCTTCAAAATCACCAGATTGTTAGATTTTTACTGTTTTTGTTGCAATTTCTTAATAAAGCTTTTATGAACCTATATTTATATAAATTTTTTTTCTCATTCTTACCTGTAAAACACATTGGCGTAACTTGGCCGTTAAAAACCTAAAATACTCTGCAAAAATACTGTGTATGTGTGTGTGCGTGTGTGTACATATATATATATATATATATGCATATACATTCATAGCCTGCGTTCCTTTTGATGCTTTCAGCGCTGTAAGCATTATTCTATCTCCGTTGCACATTGAATATCAAATAGAGATGGAGCGACGCTTTCAGCGCTGAAAGCGTCAAAAGGAACGCAGCCATAGAGTGCGTTCCGTTTCACGCATGATATATATATATATATGTTTGTTTGTATATACACATGTATATAACCTAAAACTCACGAGCTGTGCAGAGCAGCCATAGCGGTAAAAGTAATCGTAAAGAGGAAACAGATAATTTCGTAGGAGAACATTTTGGCGACTAGCCGTTCCTCTATCGCCAGCTTCTCCTTGGCCACGTCGTTACTTGGTTCGGACGTGGATGTTGACGTGATCTGGCGTGATAGGTTATCGGCATTTCTCGGCGAGCTCGTCTCGCGCTCCTCGCTAGACACTCGCCCAGCCATCGCCTATCGTCACCGGTGTTTACCGCATCGCTGTTGCTCTCGTGCTTTTCCTCGATCCCCTTCCCCCCCAGCCCTGTTAATCGCGCAATTATTCTTATTTATTCAATTACAAGGGCAATTAGTTTTCACCATCCCCCTTCTTCCAAGTCAATTAACCGTAGAATAGACCATTCAGCCACTGAAATATGGGCCTTCACACATGAATTTTAGGCGCGTTCAGTAGACACAACTGTTGCACAACTGTTGAGTTCGGACCTAAGCAGAATGGCTGTCTTAAGGTGGAAACACATAAAATTGCAGGAGCCATAAGCAAAACGCAGAAGCCATATGCGCATGCGCTATGGTATCTGCCTGTATTCTGCCCATGGCTGTGGCTTCTGAATTTTCAATCTACATAAACTATGCTTATGTATTTTTATGTAGATTGAAAATTCAGAAGCCATGGGCAGTATGCAGACACCATAGCGCATGCGCATATGACTTCTGCATTCGTGTTCATGGCTCCTGCAATTTTATGTGCTTCCACCTTTAAGGTGCGTTTTCACTCATGTCGAGATGTAGGCGACATCATATATCGGAGTCGCCGACATCGTGGCTGCATTCCGATATTCACTGTCAGCAACTTTCAGTACTGAAAATCTATAGTATATGTGACGTAAAATATAGTTATATTCAAGTCTCGTTCTCACGATTATCAAGTAGTACCGGCTTCCATGCCCGGTGGCGCCACAATCT